CTCCTGTGGCTTATATTTTATCAGCCCTTCTATGAGTTTATGAAGTTGCCTCTTCTGAAACTGGCATTTTGATGTACTCTGTGGGTTAATTATGTGATTTGGCATCTGGAGCTTAAACCCCTATATCGCTCTGCACTCAGTTTCTTAGCTAACATTCCTGTCTCTGAGCACCATCCATTTGCCTTCTATTAGCTAAGTGTAGGAGCAGAAAACTGGGTTCAAAAGAGTAGTTTTCAATTTTAAAACTCAGACCTCATCTTGTTTTTGTTCTTGGACAAACTACCTTTGTTTCAGTGTTACCACCTTGCCTTCTGAGAAATGAGGTTTTGTAACTTGCCGCTATGGCACTCATTTTGTCACAGTGTCTATGATACTCCAAAAGTGCTACCGGTTCCAAAAGGTTATGGCTTTTTCAGCACCAGATGATTATTTATTCTTCCAGGCCTGTTTTACTGACTTTACATTTTTGTGTCATCTTAATTTGCTGCTGAGTTTATATTCTGCATGTTTTTACTCCTTGATGCTGATTTAATTAGGTGCTCTTTTTATCATTGTTCTAAATTCTATGTTTTCAATTTACCTCTACAGCAGCCAGAGAAGTTTAGGTATTCGGTAGCCTAAAAATGGAATAAATGAATAATAAATAATAACAGACTGTGAAGGGCTGGTGGGGCTCACAGCCTCTTAAATGACACCCAGTGATTTGATTAGGAGGCAGGTGCTAGTGAGAAGACACTTGGAGAAGGAAACAGCCCTGAGAAGAGAAGTCACACACCTTGGCACACACTTGGTTCTCCCCAAAGCCCAGGATAAGCAACACCTGGGCTGGCTGCTGGTGGCAGGGCCAGGGAAGGGGGACTATAAGGACTGTAGGAAGGGAATGGTGGGGAGGTGAACACTGGTGGAGGAAAATGGTGGAGGCTGGGAAGATATGGCAACTAAGCTTTGGGGCAGGCTGGAAACTAGTGCAGCTACTGTTAGAGAAAAGGAAGCAGGGCCCATTTTTATCCTATCCAGGACCCATTCTCTTGGAAGAGTACAGCCAGAACAGGCCCCTGTGCATTTAGAAAACCGATGAATCAAATGAAGGTGTTGGAGAAAAAATGTGAAGAAACAGAGGTGTTGGCTAAAGTTAATGTATTGGATACAATTTCCCATTCTGAAATAACACTGGAGAAAAAAATGATTGATTTGGAGGACAGAGATTGTAGAAGGGACTTATGACTGAGAAATATACCAGAACAATTGTCAATGGAAGAAAAGCAACTCAGGAGTGATGTACTTGCATGGTTTGAAGAATTGAAACCAGATGAGAAATGGGAAGATATCTACATCTAACTTTTATAAGAAGGAATGGCTGATTGGCAAAAGCTGTGGGAGAGAAATATTAAGGTAACATTAGCAACTTTGTATAAAGAGAACCTGCATAAAATGTTTTATAGATGGTATCTGTCGCCAAATAGATTAGCTAAGATGTTTCCAAATATGTCAAATGGATGCTGAAAATGTAAACATAAATTGGGTACTTTCTATCATATGTGGTGGACTTGCAATAATGCAAAAAAGTATTGGATTAAAATACATAAATGGCTTGAGGAAATGTTACAATCTTTAGCTTTTAAACCTGAAATTTACTTATTAGGCATTATACCTGCTGATATTAGTAAACAAGAAATGTACTTGATATTACATGTAATTACTGCGGCGAGGATTGCATTTGCTCGACACTGGAAAAGTGAAGAACCACCCACCAACGAACTGATCCTAAAAAAGATCTTGGACTGTGCAGAAATGGATAGACTGACTTTGTCATTGAAGGAGAAATAAGATACTGATTTCTATCAAACTTGGGACTCTTTTTATTATTGGCTAGAGAAATGGGACTTCATATAGATTATGTTTCTCTGTTATCATAAATGGAAAAAAATGTGGGGGCTGGCTCAGCAGGCTCGATGTTTTTGATGATTGATGTTGTTTTTAGTTTTTCTTTGTTTTTAGGAATAAAATTTTGAATAAAACTTATTAAAAAAAAGGAATGGCTGATGAGAAAGTTGAGAGAAAATGTGGGTCAACTAACGTTTAAGGAGGCACCCATTCAAGGTTTACTATATAAGATATATACTAAGTATTAGTATATAAATAGGGAGAATTTATAAATAGGGTAGAGTACTAATTTTGAATAAGTAGTTAGCCTGGTCCTCCTGATGGAGGCTAAGGAGCAAGGAGGGTTTGATGTTCCCTTCAATCCTGATCCAGTGACACAGACCTTTTCCATTGTCTCAAGACTGCAACATATGGTGCACACACATGCATGTATATATATTCCTAGGGCACCTTCCAAGGTGAAAGCTTTTCCAAAGAAGTATAAAACAATTACATTCATACAATATAAAACTGATATGGCAATAAAAATAATAAATGTTCCAGGATACAACACACACCAGCATAAGAGAGAACCTACCATGCAATCATAGCTACAAACTACTCTGATAAAATATAATGAAGGTAAGACCAGAGTAAACAAGCTGGTCTTCAGGATCTTCTTAAAAGCCTACAGAGGTGGAGCCTGGCAGATCCCCAATAGCATTTAATTTCAGAGGTGCATGGCCAGTGCAGAGAAGGCCATCTCTCAAGAACTTGGCCTCCTGACTAGACACCTGAGAAGGACCTCACTTGCCAATCTTAAAGTGTAGACCAGCTAATTTAAGTGAACTAACTTTGTGCCAAACCATTTAGGGCTGTAAAGGTTAAAACTAGCACATTCAAATAAGTTTCACAACTCACTAATAATGATTGGCATAATATAGGCATTACAGTGGTACCCTGGTTCACAAATGCTTCTGTTCACAAACAATTCAGTTTGTGAACAGAAATTTCAGCAAAATTTTGCTTCCATTCACGAACTCCACATTGGGTGATGACCATGATTGTAACCGTGTTCCTGCATGAACACGACTACGATCGCAGCCATCTTCCCCACACAAACACGAACGTGACTATCTTCCCCACTCTGACACATGGTCGCGGCTTCCTATAGCCAAGATTGCAGACGCAGACTCTCCCTCCAAACAATAACCTCTTCCCCATCCACCTTCCTGTCCTCCACACCAGCAAGGTTAGTGTTCTCTCTCTCCATACTCTACTGTACTGTACTTTGTTCCATATTTTTGTGGCTAAAAAAAATACATATGGTTCAGAATGGAGTAACCTTATTTACATTGAACCTTATGGGGAAATTTGACTTGGTTCACAACCAATTCAGTTTGCAACCGGAATCGTGGAACAAGTTAAGTTCATGAACCGAGGTACCACTGTATATGATCTCATATAATGCCTATAGGCATTATCTCATTCCTTCCAACACCTGCATCAGCTGAAGTTTCTGGACTATCCTCAAAGGCAGCCCCATATATAGCATATTACAGAAGTCTAGCCTGGACATCACAAGTGCATGCTTAACTGAGAAAGATCTATCCTTGCCAGGTAATGCTGAAGCATAAACTGATAAAATGACCAATTTAAAGCTTTTTTCATGTCCATGAATCTACATTAAGTAGGACTAACATAACATTGGATATTATGCCAGGGCACTGCAGTCACCAGCGGTTTCCCATTTAGCACAGAGTCCCAGAGGACTCCCAAACTACACAATTTACCATTTAGAGGGAGGGCAACCCCATCTAAGGCCAAAGCATCTAGTTGACCTCCCTGTACCTCCATTCTGTCTGGATTAAGTCTCAATTCTCAGTGATACACCCCAGAACAACCTCCAGATTGTTCAAAAGTTCCACAGCCTCCCTGGGATGTGTTGATGGAAATGAGAGATGGAACTGAAGAACATATGTTTATATTTATGACTCCTCAGCCCAAAGCTCTGGCTAGCTTGGTTTCATGGTTTCATGTAGATGGTAAAAACATGAGGGACAAGATGGAACCTTTCAGCACCACACAAGTTAATGGGCTAGAGCTGAAGCCTCTGGTCCCATTTCCTGAGTTTTATTCCTGAATTGTTTGTAGTCAACAATCCATAGTTAAACAATAGTTCGTGTAAAGACAATTCAATGATTACCCATTCTTTGGGTTGTCAGTATACATGACTCAGGCCATAGAAAGGGAAGTCACCAGAGAGCACAGGGATCCTTTTCTCCCATTGTGTTGCACCAAGAACCACAGTGAGCATACAGTGGTACCTCGGCTCACGAATGCCTCAGTTCACAACCAAATTGGGTTGCGAACAGAAATTTCTGAAAAATTTTGCCTCAGGTTGCGAACTCCACAATGGGTTACGATCATGATCACACCTCTCTTCCCTGCACCGGTGCGATCGCGGTTGTGCTGGTGGGGTGGAGATGGCCGTGGTCCCGCTTGTGTAGGGAAGATAGGCATGATTGCAGTCGTGCTCGGGGCAGGGGGGGGGAGATGGCCACGATTGTGCTGGGTGGGGGAGATGGCCGCGATCTTTGTTGTTCTTTGTCACTTTGTTTCAAATTTTTGTGATTTAAAAAAATGGTTACAGAATGGATTAACCTTATTTACATTGAACCTTATGGGGAAATTTGACTTGAGTCATGACCACTTTGAGTCGCAACCAGAGCCATCGAATGGATTAAGTTTGTGAGCCAAGGTACCACTGTAGTTTGAGGAAGTTAACTTATGTGCCTTTATCTACTATGGCTCAAACTATCCAGGAAGCAAACTGTCTACAACAACCTTTCCCAACCTGATGTCCTCTAGATATATTGGACAACAATTCCAATAATTCCAACCAACAATGGGGGGCACCAAGTTGGGGAAGGCTCGTCTACTTTCTCTAACATTTTGTAGATATGATATCCCATTTGCTTGATGGCAATCTTTTTGTTACAGTTTAAATTACTAACTCACATTCTCAATTAAATATGAAATTCATACAATATAAAGAAACAAAGTCAACATGATCAGTCAAACAAATTAGCAAAAATTGTATGAACATAAAACTAAGAGCTGCAAACTTATTTTACCTCCCTTCTTGGCTGCAGTAAACATTGTTGTCCCAGATTTCTCACGCACAAAACTCTCTTCTTCTTCTGAGCTGACAGAAATACATTCCTTTAAAGGAAAAAAAATAATGCTTTCTCATTATTCTCTTTGTCAAATTCATATTCTTCTTTGTTGACCTAGTAAGGGAAGATAAACCAATCCTCAGAGATAATGCTGTTTATACTGCAGTACATAATTGCTTGAATAAAGGTGAAATGTGGTCTGAAAAAATGGTTCCAAGCTTATCAAAACAGTTAATTTAAAAAAAAAGAAAAATGCCTATTTTCTATTAGGCATTATTCCTGATGACTTTGATAAGCAAGCTATATATCTGACTTTACATGTAATTACTGCGGCGAGAATTGCCTTTGCCCAATGCGAAGAGCCACGTACTGAACAGTTGATTTTAAAAAAGATTTTGCATTGAGCAGAGATAGACAGATTGACCTTGTCTTTGAAGGAGAAGGAAGATACATATTTCTATCAAACGTGGAACTCTTTTTATTATTGGTTGGAGAAACGGGACTATGCATAGAATTGAATAAGGTTGATTGTAAAAAAGAATAAGATGTCAACCCAGTACGTCCGATGTCTTGAATAACTGTTGTTTTAGTGTTCAATTTGTAGAGAAAAATAATAAGAATTTGATATTAAAAAAACAAAACAGTTAATTTAATAGAACTGGAAACATTTTATGTACAGTCTATTTTTAAAAAAGATTAATTCCTAAAATGTCACAAAAGCATAAAACAGAAATGTTAAAAACCAGACCATTAATTGACTATTGTTTCATGCCTGCACTATATCCTAAACATGGTGGCCTAATGCAAGTTGTGTCATTACATCAATTTACTAGGGGAAAGAGAGAGGAATTATTTAATATCATTGTGTTAGCAACAGACTGTTATAATGTCAACCTTTCTGATATTGAATTAAGAATAGATTTGAAGAGTCTAGGAATGTACACTAAAATCAAGAGAGAAGCCCACAAGGAAGGCTAAAAGTATATCTGTAATTTTTACTAGTTCCCGTAGATTTTGAAGACTATAGGTTCTGGATTTTGATCTTATGATAACTTGGTTATTCCAATTCTTGTTACAGATGTAGCTCTGAACTCTGAAATGAAATAAAAACAATTTTATGCAAAACACAATTAAATATGCTTGTTTAAAATTGATATTGTCTTAGAAATTGTCTGATTTCAATTTCAAAGCAAATTCCTTACCTAACTTTTTACGGAAGCTTTATAAGGTAAACACTGCAGAATTTAGCAGCACATGAACATCCCTATGTGTTAAATACAATTTTCTATTCTGCACAAATTTGCCAGAATTAGCTATTTACAACCATGCAGAAAACTGAATTCTGTGACAGGTTGTATTTTATATGCAAGTTAATTTAAGAGATAAGGATTATTTTATTCCATATATACATAAGCATTATATGCATTTGGGATCTATAATGAAGTCTGTTGGCATACACCAGTTTACTTGTATTTTTAACTCAACTCTGTCAGTGGCAGTAGGGGTGAGTTTCAGGCCTTGATTCATTAGACATCTAAAATAATGTTGATAGCTTGAAATGTTTCCAGAATTAATTCAATAATATCAGATAAGATTCATGCTGATTATGATTATGTTAATAGCAATTTTTGTGAGAGACAATAATGGAAAGAAACGGAACAGAATATAGAAATGACCTTACCCAAAGGACTGACCTTTGTTTTACAAAACAGGAGAAAATATATGCTCTGGTGTCTGAAAAAAAAAGTTCCAATGCATTTTGAAAAGAAATAGCCTCCTTCAGAGGCAATGCTTCCTCTGTTTCAAAATGCATTTTAAGGATTTTTGGAATATTTTGAAACAGAGGAAGCATTGCCCCAAGGAAGGAAACTTCTTTCTGAAATATATTGGGACAAATAAGTTTTTTCAGGCACCTGAGACTATCTTTTCTCCTGTTTTGTGACATATTGTCTTCCTCTCAGACAATACAAGGGGAAGATGCACCAGTCGACAGGGACAATGAGGTTTTAAGGAATAAACCAAGGACAAGAAAAAAATAGTGGTGATGCTAGTAAAACCATGGAAAGGCTGGAGAAGTACCTCTGACCCTTCATGTCAGAATGTCTCATATCAGAAAGTGCTCTGATCCTGCTTAGTTTTATTTTGAGCTCACTGGCCCTGAGAAGAGCTCAAATACTCACAGTGAACCTCCACAAGTAAAGAATGGCAACCCTTAAAATCATTATTTTGACTTGAATGACCTTTAGCTTTTATATGCAATAACATTTACCTCTTACTGGTTTCTATGAATTCAGTTTCTGAGTCAGAACAGTCTATGTCCAGTTTTCTCTTTCCTGAAAATAAGGTGTAGCTTCTAAATCTATCCTTTGTATCTTTTTCATTTCTGTGCATCAGTTTGCCTAGAATAAAATCAATATTCATCAAATAGTGTATTTATGTAACTATATGCAGTGGTCCAGTTACCTGTAGTGAAACAACCAATATTGCAGTACATCCCAGGTAAGTATCATGTTTTGGTCCTGTGAATTCCAGACCAACATTTTTACATTCCCTAATTCAGTGATGGTGAACCTTTCAGAGACCGAGTGCCCATACTGCAACCCCAAACTTACTTATTTACCGCAAAGTGCCAACACTGCAATAAAACTGAAAACTGAGGTGGCAGCACAGCCAGCAAACAACTCACAGCCAGTCCAAGCATATGTATGTATGTATGTATGTATGTACGTACGTACGTATGTATCCTTGGCAGCGCACTGACTGGCAATGCGAAAGCTCGGACGAGTCATGGCTAACGAGTCGTGGCTCGTGTCGTCATCGCCTGGCACTGCTACTCCTTTCCGAACATGCGCATGGCCCCTGTGTGCACTGTTATCTGATGCTCGGCTGCTGGGGTGATGCTGGGGCGACTTGGCTTGCATGCTGACAGAGAGGGCTCTGTGTTCCTGCTGTGGCATACATACCATAGGTTCACCATCACTGCCCTAGTCTAAGGAACTGCTTTCATTAGGGGAGAAGCACAAAATTTTCCAAATGCAATATTAATCCTAAACACCACTTTCCTCAAATAGCTGATTGCTTTTGACAGGAGCCAAAACAAAGCAACCTAGAAACAAGAAGGAAGTATCAGTATTGTCAGGGAAACAGAAGCTTGAGGTTCAAAATGCAGGAACGACCCTTTTTTTAAAAGAAGTGCACAATACAAGGGATAAGCTCCTCCACTTCCACCCAGTTCACAGCTCAATGAAGACTGACCATGCTTACTAGCCACAGAATGCCAATGTCAGTTAGAAAAGAACTTGCAGGGCAGAGCAAGATGGAATGGAGTAGAATTTACACGTTTTTGTAGGGAAGGAGGCGCAAAGACATGACCTTTGCCTCCACACTCCTCCCACCCTGCAAAGAATGCCCATACCTCTCCAGATTTGGACAGTTACAAGCACCCCCATAGGATTACGCCATAAATGTAAGAGTCATAATTTAAAGTGTTATGGGTGTGTTCCTTTAAATGTAGTTAAGTTTCAAAAGTGGGGGGAAGAGGGGGATAAGTGAATGAAGTGCTTGGTTGGTAACTAAGAGTATGTGAGCAGAGCTTGGAAGTGTGTGAGAGAAAAAAATAAAAATATATAGGGCTTTTTTTGTCATAGAACGTACCGGAACGGCGGAACGACGTTCCGGCACCTTTTTTTTCCAATAGATTTTACGAAGTGATTTTGAATGTAGCAGATCAGCAGCAAACATCATTAACATAGTGCCTGCAGGCTGCTTTTGTGTCTGCTGTTATCTGGTAGTGAGATAGTAAGGGCGCTGCTCGGCTTGGGATTGGTGTGTGTGGTTGCGCGCTTACTGCCGGCGACATGAGTTCCAGCACCTTTTTTTTCACAAAAAAAGCACTGAAAATATATATTTGGTCTGTTGGTGGCTAACTGTCAGTTGTGGTCATTCAGCAGTCTACAGAATCTGAAAAAGCAGCCTTCTCGTTAGAATTCCATATAGTATGAGAAATGTGTCAGAAGAGTGTGAGAAACGTGACAGAAACTTGAGTTCAGAAGAGAAAGATTAAACTGAGATTTTTTTTAAAAAAGCCAGGCCAAAGTACTTTCAGAAAAGAAAGGAGGATTTCAGAGTGAGGAATATTTGTGAAGGGGAAGAGTGTGATACCTCGGTCAGAAGTTATTCATATATACTCTTTTATTCACTGAGGAAATAAGTTAGAGAACATCTTGAAACCAATACGCTTCTTGTACAAATAACATTTTATTTTGTTTAATGTTAACCAGAGCCATAGACTGTTTGAATATCAGTATCTCATCCTGAGGACACAAAGTCCCATAAAGTAGCCTTATAGCTTGGGCACAATACTGTGGGAGGGCTTTATTAGTAAGATTGGAATTAAATTCCTGGTGGCAGTGCTATATACCCAGAGAAAGAGAGGGGAAATCAAGAAAGTTAACAACACACCATAGCCAAATTATAGAAGAGTACATGTGACAGTCCTCATTTTTTTTCAAAACCATATTAAAGACGACTTTCTTAACAAAGTATATAACAACTTCATGTTGAAGTATCCAAAAGTCATTATGTCTACAAAATCTTAACTTAGATATTTGTATCTTGGGGACTGCCTGTGCTCTGATGGCATACAAAATGTTTATCATATTTAGATTTAAAAAATATAAAACATCAATAAAAGGTCATCAGGAGGTGTGGGCTGCGGAACCATCAGTACGCTGATGATACCCAGCTCTACCTCTCGTTCTCCACCAATCCAGGTGAGGCAGTGGCTGTGCTGAACCGGTGCCTGGCCGAGGTAATGGGCTGGATGAGGGCCAATAAACTGAAGCTCAATCCAGACAAGACGGAGGTCCTGTTGGTTGGTGGTTCGGGCTTCGAAGAGGGTGAACTGAACCTTGTTCTGAATGGGGTTGCACTCCCTCTTAGGGACAAGGTCCGCAGCTTGGGAGTGCTCCTCGACCCAGAGCTTTCACTAGAAGCTCAGGTGACAGCAGTGGCGAGGAGCGCTTTCCTCCAGCTTCGGCTGATTCCCCAGCTGCGCCCCTATCTGGAGTACGACTGCCTCGCGACAGTGACACATGCACTGGTGACTTCCCGTCTTGACTTCTGTAACGCGCTCTACGTGGGGCTACCCTTGAAGACGGTCCGGATACTTCAATTGGTTCAAAATAGATCTGCCAGGCTGCTGACGGGGACTGGGCGTTGTGTTCACATGACTCCAGTTCTCCGTCAGCTTCACTGGCTTCCCATTGAAGTCCGGGCCCAATTCAAGGTGTTGGTGATGACCTATAAAGCCCTAAACGGCTTGCGTCCTGGTTACCTGAAGGAGCGCTTGCATCCATATATGCCCAGCCGCAAGAAATTAGGAGGGTGGGTACTCGGAGGAGGGCTTTCTCTGCAGTGGCACCAAAGTTATGGAACGCGCTCCCCAGAGAGGTCCGCCTGGCGCCATCGTTATTTGCTTTTCGGCGCCAGGCGAAGACCTTTTTATTCAAGCGGCATTTTAACTGTTAATATTATTGGATTTTATCTGGCCAGGGCGGCTTATTTTATACTGTATTTTTGTATTTTTAATTTAATGTTTATATTTTTGATTTATATTGTAATTATTTTAACTTAGTGTTGTAAGCCGCCCCGAGGCTTCGGCGAATGGGCGGCATAAAAATGTTTTAATAAATAAATAAATAAATAAATAAATAAAAGGTGGGGAAAACATAAAACAGTCAGCTGGCATAAATTAGTTTAAAATGCTTGGATGAACAACAGGCTTTAAAACAGAATGTAGCGATGAGGGCAAAACTGGTTCATCTTCATGGAGATAAAAATGCCATAACAGAGACTGCTCTGCTGAAAAGAAACAGCATCAAAATATGCAATGCTGTGTTACAAGTGCCTTTAATTTACTGCAATAATGCATATAGCAGCTGAGTGCAGGCTTAATTGTTGGGGATTACATGAGCGTACCTGCCTGGAGCCAGAAGTCAGACCGGATGAGGCTCCTTCTGCCTTGCTTTGTTTCTATGTTTCTAATTCAGCACTTATTTTAACCCTAAATTAATATTAATAACAGAAACGAACCAGATAATGTTCAAGGTCACTGAAAACTACTGAAACATATGATTCATTGCAACACTTTTCTTAATTTTGTTTCTACTTATGTAATATTACTGCAATGATTATTTAACCTTTAAATTCATTTCCATCCCTCCTTGGACTATGTTACTTTACCTGCATATGTACAAACAAATGTTCCTTTGTCAATGTCATCAAGACAACGGACCCCCCAGCCCTTCTTTTCTGTCTTGAAGACTTGGAGCCGAACTTGAATGCCATGTTGCACCAATCTGTTCTGGCACATCTTCTTGTCACAGCTGCATAACAAGCTGCACTCGTAAATTCTGAAACAAAAAGAAAATAGAAAGAGTATGTACTTACCTCTCAGGCAAATGAACTGCTACCAAATAATCTTTCTGCCATATTACTAACAGAAAACAACAAATTCACATCTAACAAAAGATTGTACAAGTTCATTTAGTACATGGAAATAACAAAGTATTCTGAGTGAAATAATGCAGCATACTGTGAATGAAGTTGTTTCTAAAATCTAATTCCACACATTTTGGAAGCAAAACTAAAGAAACTGAAGCTGTTGCACTTGGGCACATGAGAAGGCTAGACTGAGGGAAAAAGACAAACATGCTAGGGAAAGATGAAAGCAGAAGGTAAGGAAGACAAAATATGAGATGGGTTGATTCTCTAAACAGAAAGCCACTCTTCAGTTTACAAGAGCTGAGCAAAGCCCAAGGACAAGGCATTTTAAAGGATATTTCATAGACTTGCCATAGTTTAGAACTGACCTGAAGGCACACAACAACAACAAATTCTACACATGTAATGCTAATCAACATTCACAATTATAAATATATTCAAGGTCTTTAAAGAGGCAATAGGGTCAATATGTGTTCTAAACAAACAATAACCCCAAATAATTATTTACCAACCTTGCAGAGGGAAAACTTTATAGATATGGTGGAAGAGAATGAAATCTTATCACCAAAACCAAAGCTCTCTTCATTGAAGCAGTGCAATGAAGTGAAATCTAGTGGAAATCTAGTGGAATTCATTTTTCTAGCATTTGTGGAATTCCTCTTGTGCTCAGCCAGGTCTATTTATGCTCACCAAGGAGGGAGAATTTACTTTTGTTAAATGTGGCACCAAATTGTTAACCAAACTATTGAAAAACATGGGAGCCAAAAGGCATCTTTGTTTTACTTGTTGGTTTGTTTTGGAAGCTTCAGTTAAAAAGCTACTCAACCCAACCTAACCCAAATTTCTGTTTTAATATATAGTTCTTTTATTAGTATCTGGTGTCCACAGTCAGTCTTAGAGTTTTGCAACTTTTTCCACAATCTGTGTTAAGAAAACCAAAAGCAGCAGACAGGTTAATAAAAGCTACAAAAAGGGTATTTAATATTCTTGGTATATTTGCTTATTAAGCAATTTAGGATAAAACATTATAGTCCTGTAACCACTTCCAAAATCAGCTTGCTCTTCGATGTACAATTTGATTAATATGAAGTGATTCTAGTGATTTTCAATAGATACCATGCATAGATATTTGAAGGAACATCTAAAATCTAATTGTGGCAGGCAGTTTTGTGGGTCATTCCTGTCAGCTTCCTTTTAAGTTATGAAGATAATGCTCAACATCTATCCAGAGAGTATTAATCCAGTTGTATATTTTGGTTCCCCTCTTGGATGCACACATTAACATGTGTCAAAGAAGCCAACAGCAATGCTGCCAGAAGGCCAATCTGTCTCACTCAGTTGAACTCCTAGCAAAGTCACATAAGACAGAATGGTCAAAGCAGAGACACCAGATTAAGAAGCATCCACCCACTTAATGAATAACAATCACATCAGCAGAAGAAAACGGATCTAAGAGTAATGGGGGTGGAGATACTTCTCAAGGGCAGCTACTGGGCAGCAGTGGTAGTTGAAGGTGAAACTGGTGGAGGACTTTTCACAGACAACTGCAGTGTAACTCAAAGTTAACCCTGGTTACTACTGTGCGAAAGAAGGCAAATGGTAAACCACTTCTGAATCCTACCTTGAAAACCCCTATGATGAAACAATGCAAAATGGAACAAGAGATGGTGCCAGAAGATGAGATTCTCAGGTCAGAAGGCACTCATCTAGCTACTGGGGAAGACCAAAGGGGGGCATTTTCTACCAGACACATACCAAGTGTAAAAATCACAAATTCAAGAGAATTTGCTGTGGTTTTTGTTTTATTCTACTCATTTTTTGTAAGCCGTCCCAAGACACTTCTAGTGGATGGGTTAGAAAAGCTTTTAATAAATAATAATTAAATTACGAGAAATGGAATGGCTCTATAATTCTCTATCAGGAAAAATCTCCATTATTACAAAGTGAAGTGAAAACTGCACTAAAACACTTAGAAGAAATAAAGCACCTAGAACAGATAGGCTACTAATAGAACTATTTCAAGCTGCAGAGACTGAATTGGTCCAAATCCTAACAAGTATATGCCAACAAATATGGAAAATGAAACAATGCTCCACAGACTGGAAGTGTTCAATATGCATTCCAATCACCAAGAAAGGAGATGCAAAAAAGTTCAGTAACCATAAGAACATCTCACTAATTTCTCATACAAGCCAAGTGATGCTCAAGATTTTGCAACAAAGAATATTGCCCTGTATCAAGTGAGAAATGCTTGATGTTCACAAACTAGATCTCTGGCGCTCAAGATTACCGTATTTGTACATCTATAAGACGCCCCCATGTATAGGACGTCCCCCACTTTTCTTACCCATCTCCGAGCGAGCAACCAAGCTGCTGCCGCGCCCCCCATCCCCCCCCCCCCGGTACACATGCGTGCCATCTCACCGCCCCCCTCCCTTGCTGCCCTTATCCTTACCCATTTGGAAGAGGCCTACACAGCCTTTTGTAACTGTAGCCGTTACATTTTTTTTTTCCTGAGGGCAGGGAAGCTTCTGGGCAACTTCTTTCCATGAGAATCAGGCAAGCACATTTTGTCCTAGAAAGTATACAGTAGATCTAGTGCAAATAAGGATATGAAATAAAGCAACACAGCCCATTTACTTTCTGAAAATGGATTTGATTATACAATTTTCAGGGGAACCAATTACATCATTTAATCAATATCTTGGGCAATTCATTTGGATTGTGGCGTGCTGCTGTTACATTGGATATAGTTGTCATTTTAGTAAGCAATTTTTCAAATGCATGTAACTTGAGTCAGTCCCCTTTCTTGTTGACAAGTAACACAAGAGCCTACAATTTCCTCCAGAAAGCTATTTTAGGCGGTGTGATTAACTTGATTTCCCTCCTCATCCAACTGTCTCCTAATGCCTTATTCTAGTCTCAGGCTTTCTCAGTAAATTTATTTTTTAAAAGCACACCAGGGAATTCCTCCCTTTAAGACTCAGAACAGGTCTTGCACTGGTCTATGACCTTTCAAAGGCCCCAAGGTATAAAATGTTAATATTTATACTAGAACTCTATAATCATTTGCAGAAATTACATGCATTCTCCACCTTTGCTAACATGCCCTTGAAAACTACATACTCTTTGCAAATAGGTTTCATACTGCACAACTGCAATACCAAATGATTATATGCTGAAGGTTTTAGCTGGCTGGTAAGCTTCTGTACTCAGAAGCTTATGTGCATCCAGTGAAGAGCAGGAGGAGCTGTACACTCCACCTCCCCACTCTTCCTATTTTGCAATTCAGCTCAGAGGGGGAGAAAAGGAGGGTGAAGCTGTTTCCTGACAGCTTCAGTCCCCTCCCCCACACCTTTATACCCTCCCCTAGATAAATTTTCCGACCCTGGAAAAGCAGCCAGCAGGTTTTCTTTCACTCCAGCTGCAAGGAGGCAGAATGAGGTTCCTCAGCTTCAAGGTAAAAGCTCTGTTTCCAATCTCAGATCTAGGAAGCTAAAGCAACCTACTGCATCCTAGACATTGTCTAGAGGGCCTTAGGATATCTCCTTCAGGGTATTTGAAATGCATTTCAAAAGTTCCAAATACTTACCTGTCAATGCAGCCATCAGTGCAGCTGCATGAATCAAGAAATGAGCTGGAAAAATTATTCAAGAGGTATCCATGGGGCCAAGAGGCTTTCCGATATTTAAGGTAAGGAAGCTGATCATTATCTATGTCATTACAGAAAGAAACTGGTACAGTCTCTGCCCCTTGGCTGATGTCAAAATCAAATTCAAACACATGTTGGCTTGGGCACTTTCTAAAAACCTGCACATAGGTATTGAAAGAAAAATGATCTAAAAATAAGAAGTTGCATTCTGTTTGAAATAAGTAATTCTGAACCTCTTGGAAATTTCTCAGAGTCCTTCCACAAGGAGCTCTGTACATCACATCATATGACTTTGATGCAGAGTCTTTTTTTGCATTCCATCTCTGGAAGTGACACAGTATTGGCAGATTAAGAGGGTTTTCACCCCTGTACGAATCCCATGGCCTTTTGACAAGACATTTTTTAGAGCATATATGATCCTGAGAGGGCAATGTTGAAGATATTTCTGTAGGTTCTCCGTTACTCCTTGAATGCATCGCCTCCTTTATCTCCATTCTTCTGTTTACAATTACACATGCAAGAATTGAAGAGAAATGTGTCAGGCAACCTGTAAGTTAACTGGGATTTATTCAAAGATGCACTTTTTCACTGAACCTAGTAAAGGTACATTAACCTATATTTTAGTGCATACTTTTGGTCCTATATGGGTCCCAGCAAGATTAGTTAGGCAGAAACTGAGATTCAACTCATCTTGGTCATGTGAGGAGACACTGTAGGACAAGTGGAGGAGGAGGAGGAATTCCTAGCCAGGCTAAATGAACAGACCAATTATATAACATCAGGCATGGTCCACAAGTAGCATGAATCACCCAGAGGCTGTAGTCAAGACTCTAGGAAAAGGGAGAGAGAAGGGGAATCAACTCTTCACATGGGCAGAAGCTGCTCTCATAGATTGAAGTTATCACTACTGTGATTTATGCAACTTGTTCACAGTTTATTAAAAAAAAAAACCCTTGTATCACAAAATACCTGTTAAGATCTAATACTCCTGTTAGCAGCAGGAAAACAACAATCTTGCTGCATTAGGATTAGGAGGTGCACGCCAGAACAATGATCTTTTCTGCACAGCCAGACAGCTTTGGATGGTATCAAGCACTGCCCTTGAATTAGCAGAAATAACCACTAATAGGAATGGGAAGCTAATGGCTGATAATGCAACCAGAAATTGGCCTAAGTTAATGTTTCTGGAACAGGAACATTTAATGCAGCTTGTGGAAGGAAACACCTCTGACTTGACCCTGCTCTCTTGAGATAGTTTCTAGTGGCACATCATGAAGCACTCACTTCCCACTGTGGAACATGATTACCACTGGAGAAATGCTGGACCTCTATTAAAGCAGACATGTTGCCTGCTTGCCGGCTTGTTTCCTTTGTTTTACACTGACATACACAAGACCCACAATGCTAAAGTCTCTCCAAATCAGGCTCTGTGCAACTAGGTTCTAGCTTGCATAGAAATCTAAACCTGTTGGCTTCGCCTCCTTAGACATCCATACTCAGTGCATGGATGTCAAGCCTAGGAAGCTGTGGACAACAAGTCCAGTGCTCCTGAAGGGGGCTTCTGACAGACATAAGGTAAAGACAAAAATCAACCTGATTTATGAATGCAAGCCCCAAATGCTTTTGCAATTCAGTATCAGTTGTACTACATCAAGGAAGATGCATTTTACCCCAACACAACAAATGCTTATACCTGGGAGCGTGTAGGCTGTGCTGGGACAGCACTGTAACCTCGATCTTGGTGGAGCAAAATATCCAAATCATTTAAAAAATACAACTGTTTACAGCCCTGAGACACTATAAGGAGCAGAATACAAAAATTTTAAATAAACTGTCTAGAAATCAATACCATGGTATCCTTCTTGACAGGTAGGTCAAGTTGGAAGTAGAGAGCACTGATATCTAGTGGTTTCACTCCTAGTTGACTGGTCATGTCTAGAAGGTGGTACATCGGGATTATAGCTCTGTGCCATGGCATTTATGCCATGGAGTTCTGCTGGGCTCTATTTTATCCTGCATGCTCTTTAACATCTACATGAAACTGTTGGGTGAGGGCATCAGAAGGTGTGGGCTGAGCTGTCATTAGTATGCTGATGACACTCAGTTCTACCTTTCTTTTCATCTGATGCAGGTGTGGCAGTGAATGTTCTGAATCAGGATCTGGCCTCAATAATAGATTGGATGAGGGTTAATAAATTGAAACTTAATACAGATAAGATGCTGTTGGTGTGTGTGTGGGGGGGGGGTCGTTGATTCAAATGGGCGACACCTTCCCTGTCCTAGATGGGGTCACACTCCCACTAAAGGGCAGGGATTGCAGCTGGACCCTGAATTATCCCTGGAATTCCAGATGGATTTGGTGGCCAGGAGCACTTTCTATCAGCTAAAATGGATATATCAGCTGCTGCCATATCTGGACAGACAGGACTTGGTGACAGTTATCCATGCACTGGGAGTCTTTCACCTCGACTATTCCAATGTGCTTTATGTGGGGCTTTCCTTGAAGAGGGTCCAGAAACTTCAGTTTGTCCAGGATAGGGCAGCTGGACTTCTAACAAGGACTGGAACATATGATCATATAAAGTCAATCTTACCATCTCTACTGGCCACCAATTGAGGTCCAGGCCCAATTCAAGGTACTAAGTGTTTAAAGCCCAAAACTGCTTGGTGCCAGGATATCTAAAGGAGCACCACTTCCCATATCAACCTACCTGGCACTTTATATCTGCATTTGAGGCCCTCCTGAGGGAGCCCCCTCTTCAGGAAATAAGGTGGGTGGCAAGGCTTTTTTGGGAGTGGTGCCCCAGCTCAGGAATGAGCCTCCCAGATAGATTCACCTGGCACCCTCTTTTATGCTCTTTCTGATGCCAGATGAAGACTGGTTTATTTCCCCAGTGTTTTGTTAATCTGTTTTTAATGGTATTTTAACAGAACGTGGTATGCCCTTTATGTAATCATTAGTTCTATTAAGTTGGGGTGGGTGTGTTTTATTGTTTTACTGTTTTATTGTTATTTGACTTGTGTTTTTATACTGTTTTATATAGTTTTATTGTTGCAACCGACCTAGCGAGCCATGTGGCTAATGGAGTGGGTTAGAAATGAATGAATGAACGAATGAATGAATGCTATCTGGAAAAATCTCTAATAGAATTAGCCAATGGTATTTTTTAAATCCTACAAGAATATTTGCATACTGAATATACTGTGCCAATCTATATATAAGATGGATCGAACTGCAGAGTAACAGTTAAAACATGTTTTGGTCATGTCAAATGAGCTTGTTTGTTAAAGGGGACTACAAATCTAATATCTCCATCCAGTAAGGATGGTGAATCCTCTGGCTATGATTTGGTAAGCCTTGATAGCAGGGGAGGCAGGCAAGTACACACAGATCCAGGTGCCATTTAAAGAACTGCTAGAGAAGCAAAGCAAGCAGAAAGGGTCAGAAAATAAGACATGTAGGAGTGGTTCAAAAAAGCAGAGGTGCACCTGAGTTTGGTCCAGAAGAACCAAAGGAAACTAGATGAAGGAATCTGAGAGGAGAAGACAAACTGGGAGTGATTGGGCAAAGCAGAGAGGTATGCAGCCATTGCTGAGGTAGGTCCATATCCAGAGCCCAAAGAACCATCTGTTCTCTTACTCCAGAGCTCTAGCTTGCTTTTTTATTCTGAATTTATATATTAACCATTCAACCTCCAGAGAAATAAAGGCAACAAAATTGTTTAAATAATTATATAGTTTTTACTCACAAAGAAAAATCATCTCCAGGATTTTCTTTAATTTCACTTGAGGCCAAAGGATGGAAACCAGGTTTGCATTTCTGTATATTTTCCTTAGCAACATTTACTTTGAAAAGTAAAATTCAGTCTTTAGTAATGCACATTTGATCACACTTAAGCACATTAATGATTTAATAACACTATTAAAATCTGTTTTAAACACACATATAAATTAAGTTCTTAAATCAGGCAAAGACTATTTCAGGTGCACCACTTTAATATTGCATTTGCTCTACCCACTACCTCCTCATTAAGAATTGTTCATATTCAATAACTCATTAACAGCATGAATTTTACAATGTAACAGTGCAAGAGCCATCCCCATGTTCCAAGCCATGAAACTTAGGGGATATTAGGACATATGAAGTTTTTTTGTCCCATCCCAGGATTCCATAGGTAAAATACAGAACCACTTCCACTGGTGACAGAGGGCTGATCAATATAAAGAAACCTAGTGGTTCTAAGCAGAATAACTGTGGAAGTCAGTAAGAGCACATGGCTTATGAACCCAACCTTAGTGCCCCTCCCCACAAATGCAGACAATTTGCAAAGAATGAAGGAGTGGCTTTATCCATTTAAAAGGCAAATTTTGTCAGTCACAATTTTGTTTGATTTCTTTTAGTACTTTACAGTTCAAGGTTAATGTCAAAATATTCCTTTTATATCAGATATACTAGTAAGTGTGAACTTTGCCCTGTGTAAATGAACAATAGATTCAACTATCAAGAATCTGCCAGTTTAAGACCAGAGTAAAACCTATTTTAAGTTGGCTTGAACTCCAGAAAATTAAAAGGTCAGACAACTTCTCTGACTGATGTGTCTCATAATCAGTAATGATGATGTACAGTGTTAGAAATGGTTCTTCCTTATATCTCAAGTCAATAGCAGAGGTACCATTCACACTATTAAATCTGAGGAGAAACCCACCCCAAAACTATTTAAATCATTCTGCCTACTACCGATGTAGACAACAAACTGGCATGGCTAATTCTCAGGAGGGTTCCTCTAGCAATGCAGTGAGGCTCAGGTGCTTCATAGGGCAATAAAAGACCAGAATGATATGGGGCATCTTTAGTGGTCCTAGGCACTCCCCATCAAGATTTAAATACAAAATACCAAAGAACAATACGGATATATTGAGGATCAGTTGTAAACAAGCATAAATTTTGATACTGCACAGCACCATTACTGATTACACAACATCTCTCTTAAGGCATTAATTTAGCTTCCAATTTCATGGTTTTTATTAGGATGGTTGCTTATATATAACTTACTTATTTGCTTACTCTTTGTCAGTATGTGTGATAGAGGCTATGAAGAGAAAGGATAGATTACATAACATCAATTGTGGTTATTCAAGTGATCATCTGTGCATTCATATGTATGAGCT